AAAAAATTTTTTTAAAACACAAGGGCAAACTTTTTTTTTTTTAAAAAAAAAAAAAAAAAAATTTTTCCAAAAAAAAAAAAAAAAAAAAAATTTCCGGGAATTTTTCTTTTATCGGAAACAACAACAACAACAACAACCAACTTAGTAACAATCTTTTCGTCTGACAACAATCATGATGATTGATGACAAATAACAAGACAAGACAGATATTAAGATTAATTTTGTGGTTTGTAATAAAATCATGTAAAAATACAACAAAAATTTAGACATTCAAAAATCCGAAACAAAATCTTTGATTAATATGATGATGTGAACCAGAAAGAACTGAGAAAAAAAAGTACTCAGTGAAATCTTAAACTTGCTAATTTCTGTGGAAAACAGCAAGAGAGAGAGAGAGAGTGAATTGGAAATATTAACCGCAAAAAATCAAACTTAAACTAACCAGATTTTTTTTTTCTTTCAAATAACACAGTTTTTTTAAATCCAAAACTAAACAACCAAAAGAAAATTTTTTTTTCTTATCTTAATAGTGTAGTATCTTTTATACGCCTAACCAACCAACCAACCAACAGTAAAAGAAAAACAAAAACAAAATCCCTAGAGAGTGAAAGTGAGAATGATTCAAAAACGACAATAGAAACAGAAAATCAAATTCAATCAAATCAAATCAAATCAATCGATCGATCGATATTTGATATTTATTAAAATCAATTTTTTTTCTACTATAGTTTCTTTATCTCCTTTTCGTTCAAATATCCTCTCAGATAATGGATACCCTTCAACAAGAAAAATGATGATAAAATTTTCTCTTTTTCTTATGTATGTGTTTTGTCTTGGTTGGAGAGAGAGAGAGCAGCAAAATTTTTTTTTAATCCACAATACACTTGATGATAATAATGATAATAAAATGACAACTCACAATTAACATACCAAATTACAAATTAAAACATCAAATAAACAATAATGATAATAATAATAGTGAACAAAAAAAAAATTGGATCAAATTCATATTGAATTCTTTTGATTTTTTTGATTAATTTTTTTTTCTCGTGTTAATTTGTTTCGTGTTTCGTATTTTGCGTTTTTTGTGCTTTGCGTTTTGTGTTTTGTGTTTTTCGTTGTTGTTGTTGTGACGCAATCATCAAAGTTTCAAATTATGATGATGATGATGATCAGATTACACATATGAATGTTATTACGAATGTTGATGAATATTATTTATGTGTGTAATGTGTGTGTAACCAACGACAAATTGGTATAATAGTTTGATTGGTTGGTTAAATGAATGCAGCGAAAAACGAAACGAAAAAACCTAATCATATTTCAATTATGAAAATAAATATTCAAATCAACTGAACTGGTGATGAATTGAAAAATTGTCAAAAATTGATAATATGATCTATATAAATGTGTGATCAGTGGTTGTGAAAAAAGAAAAGTTAACACTAAATGTAATGTAATGTATGTTTATTGTGGAAGAAAAATTGATTGAATGAATTGAAATGAAGAAGGAAATGGACATTTCCTTTTTTTCCAATTTTCATAATCATTTGTTTGTTTGTTTGTTGATTTGTGTTACTCAATCCAATCCAATTTTTTTCACTTTTGTTGTTGTTGTTGTTTGCGTGGCTCTTTTTTGTTTTTGAAATCAGGAAAATATTTAGTGGTTACCGTGGTGTTTTTTTTTTGTTTTCAACAACTGAAAACTAATAATTTTTTCTCTTGTCCAATTTTTCATTTTCAAGGTTCAATGTGATTCTTCTTCTTCCATCAACCACTAAAAAACCCAGAAGAATTCAACAACAGTAAAAAAAACATTGCCAGAATTTTATTACATCACTGTGTCTGTGATTCATTATTATCATCATCGTAATCATTCTCTGGGTGTTTGTTTGACTGAAATTCTTGAATAAATCAACTGAAACATCAGCAACATCGAAACAAAAATGAGCAATATAATAAATAAAATATTTCCATCACGTCGAAATCAAACAAAACAATCTGGTTATGTACCGATTGTATCAAATATTGGACGGCCATTTGAAGTAAAACATAAATTACATGTTGGTTATAATATGAATACAGGTGAAATTGAAGGTTTACCACAACCATGGAAAAATTTATTACATGGTGCAAATATAACACGTAGTGAACAACAAGAAAATCCTGAAGCAGTAATTAATGCATTACAATTAGTTACATATGAAATGCAACGTAAACAAGAAAAATATTTAGCTAATCAAGATTTAATTAATACTGAAATACAAGAAATTGAAGAAACATGGCCACAATCAAAAGATTCATCTAAAATATTATTAGATGATGATGATTCATGTAAGTTTCTTTTGTAAAAAAATCCGATTACAAAAAACAATTAACTTTTCTAATTTAAAATCAATTGATTGATTAATAGCATCCGGTGATCAAAGTAATAATAATAAAAATAGTAATCTTTATGAAACTGATGATAGTGAAGCTGATCAACCTGTCAACAACAACAACAATGCTGCTATAACAACAACAACAACAAATCAATCAATTGAACAGGATAAATTAGCTAAACAATTAAAAAAACGTTTACAATTAGAACAACAACAACAACAACAACAAGAAAATAATAATAATCATCAAGATGTTTTAAATAATAATAATAATAAATTGGAAAAATCAAATCATCATAATCATCATAATAATAATAATCATCAGAAATTAAAGAAAAAATCCGAATCACCTGGATCAATGAAAAAAATTTCCGATAGTGATGGACAAACAAAAACAGTTTTACGTAAAAAAGAATTAAAAAAAGCTAAACCAATGACTGAAAATGAAGTTAAACAATTGCTTAAAAGTATTGTTAATTCGGGTAATCCACGTGTACGATATAAAATGTTAAAAAAAATTGGTTCAGGTGCTTCGGGTACTGTATTCACTGCATTGGATAATGAAACAAAAGAAAAAGTTGCAATTAAAACAATGAATATTTCACAACAACCTAAACCGGATTTAATTTGTCGTGAAATTAGTGTTATGAAAGATAATCGTCATCCAAATTTAGTTAATTATTTGGATAGTTATTTAGTTGATGATACTGATTTATGGGTTGTTATGGAATATTTAGAAGGTGGTCCATTAACTGATGTTATTACTGAAACAATTATGCGTGAAACACAAATTGCAGCAATTTTACGTGAAATTGTTAAAGCAATTTCATTTTTACATTCAAAAGTTTGTTTTTTATTCAATAGTTTTTTTTTATATTCAAAATTTAATTTAAAAAAAAATAAAATCATCCAAAATAGGGTATAATACATCGTGATATAAAAAGTGATAATGTATTACTTGAAATGGATGGCCAGGTAAAAGTAACTGATTTTGGTTTCTGTGCACAAATTATGCCACAAGAAAAACGTGAAACAATGGTCGGCACTCCATATTGGATGGCACCTGAAGTTGTATCACGTAAACAATATGGTCCAAAAGTTGATGTAAGTAATGCAATATTATTGTGTGGCAAAAAGTGTTTATTTTCATTTTCATTTTCCATTTTCTTTTTTCAAGATATGGTCATTAGGTATAATGATTATTGAAATGTTAGAAGGTGAACCACCATATATAAATGAACATCCAATTAAAGCATTATATTTGATTGCATCAAAAGGTAAACCAGAAATTAAAAATAGAGATCAACATTCATCCGAATTGAATGATTTTCTTGATAGGTAAATTTTTTAAGATGCAAATGAGAAATGCAAAAATCTAAATTAATTGATTTTTTTCTCTCCCTTTCCTCCTAAGATGTTTGGAAATTGATGTTGATAAACGTTGGTCAGCAAATGATCTATTGGAACATCCATTTTTAAAAAATTGTGAATCATTAAATTCAATTGTACCGTTAATTAAAACGGTTAAAAAATTATTAAACAAATAGATAAAAAATAAAATCAATAATCAATCAATCATTATTGGACCGTGGCCAGAGAATTACCCCCAAAAAATACTATTTCTTTTTTCTTGTTTTTTGTATTTTGTATTTTGTTTTTTTTTGCGATTTAAAATTTGTTCCTTTTCAATTTTCATTTCATTTCATTGAATTCCAAAAATAATATTTATTATTTTTTAAAAAATGAGTTTTTTTTATACTTATAAATTATAAATTACAAATTATAAATCATCGATCATCATTATTATCATTGTTATCATTTTTATTCATTCATTTATTAAAAATTTTCCAATTTTTTTTTACTCTGTTTCTTTTTAAAAAATAATAAAAATAAAAATAAATTACAAACAGCAAATTACAACACACAAATTACTATTCGAATCCAATAGATGGCGATAGTGATATTCATTTCGAAATGCTTGTTTTTCTTTTTCTCGTTTTTCGTTTGTAAATCATCTGATCATTGTAGTTTTTCTGGCCTATTTTGTTGTTGTCGTTCGAGCAATTTTTGTTTTTTGTTTTAGTTTTCGAAAATAAATACAATAATCTTTATCAACAACAACAACAACATTCGAAGTCAAAGAAGAAACAAATTTGATCCACAGCAACAAAAATGTCCTTATTACTTTACATAAAAATAGTATTTAGACAAATAAAAAATTGTCTTTGGTGGCTAATCAATTATTTGAAACGTTTAATTTTGTTTGTATTTCGTCGTCAAAATCAACAACAACAACAACAATCAAATGATGATGATCAAAATGAAAATAATTTACAATATGATCGTCTTAATTTTGTTGTTATTGATAAACCATTGAATGATGGTGATAATAATGTCAACAGCAGCAAAAACAACAACAACAATATTTTATCAACGACAACCATTCCATCAATTTTAAATAATCCAAATGAACAACAGAATTCAAAATTTCCAAATGTTCAAAGTTATACTGAACAAGGTACAGTTTTTCTCTAATATTTTTTCATTTTCTAATTTTCATTTTTCCTTTGTTTGTTTTTCACCATCATCCGATAGATTTATACAATTATTCAAATTATAGTCTAACATCGATACAATCAAAACAACAACAACAAAATTATAGTTATGATTTAAATTATACAAAAAATCGATCATCATCAAATTCTGGTGAACATCAAAAACAGCAACAACAACAACAAGAAATCGCTGATACCGTTGAAGAACCGGATTATTTTCAAGATATGGTACCTGAATTTAAAAAACCAAAAACGGTATTTTCATTTTGTTATGGGATTTTTCATCCTTGATAATCCTTTTCTTCTTCTTTTTTAAATCCAGGTTTATGTGAATAAACATGATCATCCAATGATATCCAGCGATAATAATCAACAAAACAATTATGATAATAATGATGAGCTTAATAATAAAATTGAAAAAAAATTTCGTTTTAAACAACAACAACAAAATCAACAACAACAAGATTCATCATATCAATTTAATAATAATAATAATATCGATAATGATTTATTATCGAATGAACCGAATTTTACAAATCAATTTGGTACAATTCAATTATCATCATCATCAACATCAATGGATATGAATACGAATCAAATAACTAGCTGGGAAGATATGGCTAATAATGATGAAGAATTATGGATTGATACTGATCAACAATTAAAAACAATGAGACAACAACGTCGTGAACAACGTTTAAATGAACATCGAAGACAAAAACAATTAAAACATAAAAATGGTTGATTGAAACTAAACAAACAAATTCAATCATAATCAAATAATGATTATTATGATTATTTATTAATATAAAAGTGATTCGTCCAGTTTGTTAATTCCAAATCTAATAAATAAATAAAGAAAGAAAATTTTCTTTTCGTTTTGATAATGATGAAATTGAAATAAACTAAACTAAGCAACAAACAAACAAATGATTACATAATAATATCATGCTATTTCGTTTTTTAGTTTTAGTTTTAGTTTTTTTTTGTTTTGTTTTGATAATGATACTTGAATCCTCAATGGATTAATTCAAGCGATGAAAACAAGCGATAAATGTAAATGTAAATCAACATGGATCAATTTTTTTTTCTCTTTCTTTTTGTTCGTTGTTGTTGTCGTCATTCGGAATTTAAAGCTTAAACGAAAAACCGGACATACTTATCCTTCCCTATCTCCCCCTTTTCCTTTTTCATCCATCTGTGAAAATATTCATATGATTCGAAAATCAATCGATCGATCGATTGTCATACGACATGGATCTTTTTATCTCTCTTTTTGTTTTTTTTTTATTCAATTCATTTTCTTTTCTTTTTTCTTGGTTAAACACTTTGTGGTTGAATAAATTTGTAATTTTCTTTTCATAAACATGGTTCATCGACCATCATCAATATGAATGAATAAAGATTGATCAGATAAAGATGGATGATGATCCATCTGGATGATGATACACAACTTATCTGGATTATTCATCATACGTTATATATGAATCGAATAACGATAAAATCCATCATTCGTTCTCAATTTCTTTTCATTATTTCCTTTAAGAATCTTTTTGTGTTTGTTTGTTTGTTTGGGTGTTATTTTGCTCTATATGTACACAAACAAACAAACAAACAAAATACAAAATGATAATAAACATTTTTCAATGTTTTTAATTTCAATTCTTGTTGTTGCTGTTGCTGGACTCAACTAAACTAACATTGAAATTCTCTCTCTATGTTTTATTGGTTTTATCTAAAAGCCAAAATAGATATTCGGATACAAAATCCACCCACGCTGCTTTTAAACGGGGATTTTCGTTTTCATTTTCATTTTCATTTTCATTTGTTTGATGTTGAAATTAAAATTCAAATGAATTAAATGAATATCGATGAATAGAAACAAGAAAAGCAAGAATTCAATTTTAACAACAAACAAAACAAAACAAAACAAATGAATAAAATGGAATCGTGACCATATCCATTAACAAACAAACAAACAATATCCATCAGACAATATTGTTGATAAATCATAGCTTTTTTTTCTTTTTCTCACACATTTTATCACTCTCATTGTGTGTGTGTGTGTGTGTGTGGGTAAAAATAATCCAAAAAAACCCACACACACAGTGAATATTCTCTAGCAATGAACCAAAATTTAATTTAATTTACATGGTCAAAAGGGGAAAAAAAAGAAATTCCCTTGAATTTACCGGAGTTGAGAAACAATGAAAAATCAATCACATTTTCCAGTTTTTTTGGTGTTGAAATTAGTGAGAATTTTTTTTGTTTGTTTGACCAGGATAAACAAAATCCAAAAAATTTCTCATGTTATCCGAAGATGATTTTTCGGTATTTTTCGGTATTTTGGTATCTATCCATTTTTTTAAAGAATTTGATTGTGAAAAAATGAGCCGGAAATATTATTGAATTTCGACACAAAAAAAATTAACAATTTTTTTCTAAATAATTTACTACGGGTTAATTCCATGTACGAATCCAAAAAACGGTACAAAATACAAAAATGAGGAACTTTTATCATATTAATAAGATTATTACTTTATAAAGTCTTTGTCTTCTTCTTTCTTTTTCCTTTTTTTTCTCGATTGTAATACGATTATAATGTTAATGTTGTTGATGATGATGTTTGATAATTATAACAAAACTATACACATATGTCATGCATGTATTTATATTGATTTTTGGTTGAAAAGAAAGAAAGAAATTTTATTTATTTGGGCCATTCAAAATTCTTATTCTTGAACAGAACAGAACAGAACAGAATTGTGACAACAACAACAACAACAGAAAGATTGCTGATTACAAAATGTTGTTGATTATTAAAATTTATGAATATAATGAATTTAGTATAATGATAATAGCCAACCAATCGACCAACCAATAACCAACCAACCAACCAACCAACAGTAGGGAATCAAATTCTGATTTTTTTTTCTTTGGCTTTTCATTCTTATGTTTCATTTTTTTTTCTCCCGCTACTAATTATGTAATTCAAAGAAGCAAAAAAGCGAAAAAGAAAAAAATAAGTAGCCATTCTATGCAAAAAAAAAATTCTAGCCTTCAATGATTATTCATAGATTTTTTTCACTTGTACATTTGGTCATCTGTTCTCAATTTTTTTTCTTTCTTCTTTTCTCCATTCAGAACACAAAAATATATTCAGAAAATAACCAGAATTGCAAGAATATTTTTTTTCAACCAATCATCATCATTATTAGTATTGATAACAATGAAAATATTGAACCGAATATAATCGTATCGTTGTTGTTGTTGTTTTGTAGCCATTTACATTCACTAACTAAGTATAAAATAATCGATACATATGTTATATGCAAAGTGAGAGAGATGGTGAGAGAGATTCTTTTTTCTTGATAAAATTTAGAGCAATGATGAGGAAATAAATATAGAAAGCGACCGAAAAAAAATGAATAAGAAAATTTTTTTGCTTGGTTGTAATATTAATGGTCAATTTTCTTTTCTTTGGCTTTCAAATCGAATGAATATCACTAGAAACAAAATGAGAACAAAACAAAACAAACAAAACAAAAATATCAAGAATCGAGGCTAAATCGTATGGCTTCTAATCGATTATCAACCAAGAAAGAGAGAGAGAGAAGAAATGATTCTTTATTTGGATTCTTATTCTTCTTATTCTTCTTCTTCTATGATTTTATGATCATCAATAATTTTTCTGTTAAGTTTCTTTATTCATTCATTCATTTTTCAGATATTATGATTGTTGCAACAAAAAAAAAGAAAAAGAAAACAAATTCTGTTGTATATTCCATTATATCAGATATATTGTTCCAGGAAAAAATAAAAAGAAAAATCAAGAATAAAAATGTAAATTAAAAAACATTGACCCAGTCAGCTATAGCCACCAATAAAATGTCAATATTTGAATTCATCTTTCTTTTCATCTTGAAAAATGGAAAGCAAAAAAAAATTGAAAGAAATTTCCCGATCATCTCGATTTTTCTTCTCATTATTATTATTTATTCATTCATTCATTCAGCAAAAACATGAAATAAAAGAAGACAATTTTTTTTAAATGGCAAATCAATCAAATAAAGATGTAGTAAAGAAACAAAAAAAAAGACATTTCATCATCCACATCATCATCATTTTGATTATTCAATAATGATTTCATTCCATCATTCCATCATTAGTCAATACCGAAGCAATACGAATGTTACATTGTGTTTGATTTGGTTTCAGTATAGTAGTAGTTGTAGGTCCAAAAAACAAACGAATGATCAAATTTCAGTGGAATTTTTTTTTCTATTTCGTTTCTTCTTTTTTTTGGATGATGGATAGATTTTTTTTTTGACAAATTTGTTCATCGTCATCGACGTGCATTTGTTCAATTTTTTGATTCTGTTTGGTTTATTGTATCGGAAATAGGTTTGATCCAAAAAAAATGGAAAAAATCATCATCAAACAGAACGAGAACGAGAACGAAAGAATTTATATTGACATAATCGATCAAAAAATGAAATAAGAAATAAGAAATTTTCATGTTTATTTCATCCATCATAATCATTTTATGATGATGATGATTATTATTACGATGACAAGATGTTTGTTTTCAATTGCTTTTTTGCTGTTTTGTTGGTGAAATGAAATGAATGAAAATTCTCGAAACCTTTTACTAATTGAATAAATGAATTTACGTAATAATAAATGAATGAAATCGAAAGGGAAGAGAGAGAGAGAGAGAGAGGGGACTCTAAAGATCAACAGAAATGAAATTATTGAGAAACCAAACCCGACAACAAAAAAAAAAAATAATTGATTAACCAATTGTGCACCAAACAACCGAATCGACAAGGATGAAAACAAAAAGAAGAGAGATAACCACATATTTATCTGGATAATAATTGGATTTGTCATCACCATCAGAATAATCATCATCATCATCATCATTGTCAAAAATCATCATAATTATTATCATTCAATTCTTTCAATTCAGAAATGAAAGAATTAATCAAGAAGAAAAAAAATTCTGGTACAAAATAATTTTTTTCTGGTTTTTTTTTCTCTCTCTCTCTCTCTCTCTCTCTCTCTCTCTCTCTCTTTTTCTCTTTTTT